ATAATAGAAATTATTTGTTCATTGTTGATACTCACTAAATATTTTATTTTAGCCTCAGCAGAATCAAGTGACTCCACTTGATTGAAACAGAAGTTTTAATTTGACCAAACTGTTATTTTGGATTTTTCTTTGCTTTTAGTCTCAGCTCTTAAGCTCACTGACTAGCTGGCTAGTAACCAGTGTAGAATCACAGATATGGCATTGCAAATTCTACTGGAGTAGATCTGATCATTCGAATCAGTACTGAGGTCAATACCACATTTTGTTTAATTACTCAACCTTTTCCTCTGCAGGCAACACGTGTCTTCAACACTTAAACTGTCTTTTCCAAATTATCAACTCCCTGAGCCCACCAGATGTACCTTGAGAAGAAGAGTTACATATTCAAATTTGTCAATCCCTCTCTTAAGATTCCCAGTGCTCATATTACCTTTTTCTGAAACTTCAATTCGCATCTTAGAACATACTTTGAGTAATGCTAATTTAGAATGTTCTGCTTTCAGAAAATATTGCACATTGACCATGAAACTTTCATTATTTTGTGGAAATGTTATATTCTCACATAACTGAAAACTCCAGAAGTAGGACAGATTTCTAGTAAAGCTTGATCTAATAGTTCAAATTAGAGGCTCTCATGCTGTCTCGACACTATGGACTCTCCGCAGCTACCTCTCCAAAAAACAAAGAAAAGAAGAAAAAACAGCCTTCATTTGTAGCACTGTGATTTCTATGGTGTAAATACTCCCAACATGGCCTAAAATGTGATGTCACTGAATGCAGAGGGCTTTGTAAAATCAGCTCTCGGGAGGCTGTTGAGGGCCAGCTCCAACTCACCTCTGGCAGTTGCAGCTCAGTGTTCATAGTTTCACATCGTCAAGTCATGGGGGACAGTCAGAGTTTCTTCTGGTAGCTACTGAGGAAGGAGGAGAACATATCTTTCCCCTAAAACCCTCCACTAATATTTGCCAGTTATCTCATGAGCTCTGATCAGTTTACACATACCTTTCCTTGATGCAATTTCCAGGGACACGAAAAATACTAATTGTCTTAAGCTAGCCCAGGGCTCACTCTTTGATCTGCGGATCATGCCACCCAAATGTTGGTCCATTTGTATAGAGCAGAGGGAAATTCTCATTCAGAAACAAAGGGATTGCTAATTTTAAAAAAAGGGAAGGAAGAAGGATGGAAGAAAGGAAGGAAGGAACCAAAAGAATGCCACTAGAGTATAAAAAAACTACTTAGATTAAAATATCAGCACTATACTTGATTGTAAGCTCTATAAAGGCAGAGGCATTTCTGTCTCCACCCTCCTTTTGTTGATATTACTGATAAATGTTCAATAAACAGTTGCTGGGTGAAAGTTAAAACTCAAATACTTTTGACTAGATGAATGAGAAAAATCAAAATTTTTATACAAATAACTCAGCTACAGGCTTCTCATTATTAAAATTCTCCTTGGATCTTGATACATGTAGAGTATCAGCATCAATTGTTTTGTAAACAATCTTGCTACTTAGAGTAATTCACACCCCCAAAGGATCCACAGTCATTATATTAAATTCTAGCCTATGATGAGTTATGCTGAGCTGCTAGTATATTTTTCTCGGTTTTACTATGAGAATTGGCCCATTATTACGTAGCAAACAATGCTGATATCATAAAAGAACCCATTTTAGGATGTTAATAGGTATTTCACTCACTGCACAATCCAATTAATGGGGCATGCAGTAAGATGTAAGTAAGTACAGTGGTCGGCTATACATGATGTTGGGGGAAACAAAGATCAACCACTTCAAGATCCATCTGTGTTCATTCACAGGTACTGCTTCTATGTCAGCAGGTCATTATTGATTAATTTAAGGGCTTTTGCTATCTTTTGGGGGAGATTTTAAATAATTTAGAAGTAGCAAACAGACAAGCATCTTCTTTTTATTTCCTCTCCATATAGCATTTTTGCAAATGTTAAAACAGCTACTCAATTGTTTTCTCCCTAGGGTCCTTTGTATTTTGTGGACTATGAGGAGATTAATAGCAGACTACAATAATCTGTTGTCCTTTGTGGAAAAAACTATGCTGCTGTTTCTGGAAAGAAATAATTGGTACGTAGCTTATGGAGTCAACGTCTGAATTTAATGGAGCATAAAGGGGTGGTATTTCTCATGAAGGAAGCATATTATCCGTTTAAACAGCTTTCAGTCTTGCACATAAATTAGGCCTTCGACAAGCTTTGGAAAAAGAGAAACCACACAGTAATAAATTAACATGCTTGCATATTCCTAACAAAGAAACCATCTCTTTCGAAAAGAAGAGAAAGCTCCAGTGTCTCTACTACATTTGGAAATCTGAAATTAATTATTGACTTTTCCATATTGTTTGCAGCCACTTTGTTTGCCCATTTATTGTAAAATGTATATATGGTAATTGTTTTACGGGAGCTCATAAAACTCAGACTGCAAATGAGATAATGTATGACCAATTTATCGCGTATGCCCTTCAGACACAGAGCTAAACCTGGCATAAATGAAAAGTGGTCAATGCACACTTTGTCAAGGTCTTTTCTTACGGTACCAGGGGAAAAAAGATGACATGGTAAAATTCTCAAACAGCTGCAATTGAAAAACATTTTATATTTTTCTCTAAAGTATTCCCTTTACCACTTAAAAAACCAATTTAGGGTGGCTTCTAAAATTCATCTTGGTGAGTATGTTTATGCTAAAAGTGACAATAATTTCTAGAATATGGATCTTGAAAAACTCTTTTACCATCTAGTGTATGTAATACCACAATTTCTATGAAAAAAAGTTGAACATGAATCAGTTCTTAAACTTGCAGTAAATTTAAGGAAAAATGAATATGAAACATACTTTTCAAATTATCACTCTCTCTGTATTATAGCAGCTGGGTCAGCTAAGAGGAACCCTGTTCGATTAAGCCCAAGCCCTTGGGCAAGACTGCCCAACACTGACAGAGGTGACCAGAAATGTCCTCTAGGAATGGAGATTCCATACTGTATTTAGTTGCTTATTCCAATAGTTAAAGTCAGTAACTCATTCCACCAAGATCTTCCTTCCTCCACTGAATTGAACTCTTCCTGCCTCACAGTTGACCTATTCAGCTTCCTATGTGTCATGAGGTGGTAAATAGGTAGATAGTAAATTTTGTTGAGATCCTTTTTCAGAATGCCTTGCAAGATATAACAGTATTTGGTTAACTTCCCAATGAACTGATCGATAACCTAACACAGCTCTAGTGCTGAAAGGAGCTTGTATTTAAGCAGAAAATATTTGCTTAGCATACTAAAAAACATCAGGAGGAAATTCATATATTTCAAGACAAGATGATAAATAGAACTCTTCAAAAGAGAAAGATACAAATGTAGAATTTTATATCAAAGAAAAAGTGTATAACGCAAAGGATTACCAACAATAAGAATTAGCTGTTAAATGGTAGCGACCATGAAGTTCAAATTCATCTAAGTGCTTCTCCCTTGACTCTGTATGTTGAAGACAAATCTGTTCCTACAAGGACCAGAATTAGAACTGAATGTAGTGCCATATATTAGGCCAAAATGCCTTACCCAATGAGTGTCAATTTTTCAGAAATATGACAATTTGTTAGCCACAGGGGCAGTGTGCCCATCTTCCTCTACTTTATATGTGTGACGCCTGCCACAGCATGGCTTGACAAGCGGTATGTAGGTCTGTACCCAGGATCCGAACCGGTGAACGCCGGGCTGCCAGAGCAGAATGTGTGAACTTAACCACTGCACCACCAGGCTGGCCCTCCTTTATTTTATTTATTTATTTTTTTTGGCTAAGAAAGGAAAAGAGAGAATTTAGTGGTTAAAGGAATATAGGTAAGGAATCAGTCAAAACAGGGTTAAAAATTCAAGCTCTACCACCTGGAAGCTCTGTGATCCAGTGCAAAATACCTAACTACTCAGTCTGTTCTCTCATCTCTACATGGGAATAATGGTACCGACCTCTTAGCATGAGAATTTTATAAGATCATGCATGCAAAGTATATAAAACACTATTTGACAGACTATGGGTTTAGTGATGTTACTTCTCGTTGTTGGCTATTGTATTCTCATAGTTGTTTTATTTTTATATTTTAATTTCCTTTGAAGGGAGGAAAGGAGTAACACTACATTTGTCTGGCATTTATTTAAGGTAAACTAGATTAACATCTGTGCCTTTTTATACATGATATTAAAGAAAATTGAGGCCACGAGGACTTGCAATAATCTATCTGAAGTGTTTAACACACGTCTGGCACATAGTAGGCAGAAAATTAGTGGTAGTTCTTTTCATTTCCCTCACAGTCTTCCACTCCATGACTCTCCCATATCTAGGGTCTAAATTCTACCACCAACCTTGTAGTATCCTAGGGTTTTCTGCTATCCAGGAGGTCACAGCCATACTAGCAATATATTAGAAAAGAGGTAACCGGTACTCTGAAAAGTCTGAAAAGCAGACTTAATTGCCTCAAATAAAAAAGATCATTCATATTGAAAGAGCCTTCAACTGAAGGAAAAACATATTTATTTGGCCCCATGTAGGTGGTCTGAGAGGCAGCATATGATGAATATGGTTATTTTCTTATATCTAACACTCTTCATCATCAGTACTTTCAAGATCTGCCCGCTAAATCCTAGTGTTACTGGATTCTCACTTATCGCCAGACATTCCTCCACTATTGTTTCTAGACTCCTTTCTCCAGACTCTCTATAAGAAGAATGATATAAAAAGGTTATATAACATGGTTGGAGAAATCATCCTCAGACAAAGGTAGCCTAAATTTCTGAGAAATTATCATTTATATCAAAATTATTATCAATGATATAAATTATGTATAGACATCCATTGCTAATTTTCAATAATACTGCTACCATCGGGGACTGGGAACCCAAGCAACTCAATATTCCAGGCTTTTCTTACCTCCTCCGTAGAAGCAGAGTTTTGATTAAGCAGTTTCTAAGGTCCTATGAGAACTCTTACCTGAGATCTACTCCAATGGTCAGGAGAAGTGTGGGAATTTACTAAGGACACAGGTAAGGGAGAGAGCTAAAGAAACACTTTCTGAGAAATCTCGGTGTACGGAATTCTATGTGAGCTCAAGACCTCTCTCTCTCAATGTTCTACTCTCAGAACTCAGGTATCTGCTCCCCAGCTGGCAGTTCTGTCTGTCTGGAATGAAGGATAAAAGTCAGGAAACAACTGAAGATCCTTAGGGAAATGAGATTGCCTAGAAGTGGGATGGAAACGGAGGGGAAGGTGGAGTCAGACTACCCAGGAAAAGGCTCTTATTCCTGGATTTTTGAAGGAAAGGGAACTAGGTGAACTAGTTGCCAGGACAACCTGCTGTTGTGGGAGGGTGGTTGGGGTAAGGAAATGGGAGACCTGTGGTTGCTCCTGCTCCTGCACCTGACCGTCTTCCATGGGGTCAAAGGCTGTTTAGAATGTGACCCCAAATTCATAGAGGATATTGGGTCCTTGCTGGCAAATCTGGTACCCTCAGAAGTCCCTGGCCGAACTCATCTGCTTGAACGGCAGATTAAGGAGATGATCCGTTTAAGCTTCAAGGTCTCCCACGGGGACAAGATGCTTCGGGTGTTGGGTGAGGGAAGCTTGAGTCCCTGAGAGTTTGGGGGCTAAAGGGAGAAGGGAGGCAGGGAAGAGAGGAACTGGGTGCACATTATTTCCTCCATAGATGTAATTGTTTTCCCACATGTACCTTTACCCTTTCTCTATAGCTGTTCAAAAGGTTGTCAAGTTGAGAACATGGCTGAAGAATGAACTTTATAAAGTGGGCAATGAAACGTGGAAAGGTGAGGTACTGTTTTGATGTTAAAAGATTGCATTGTGCAAGCAAGTCTGAGGAAAGTTTGCTGGGGAAAACAAGGCAAAACAATTAGGATTAAATTCTGAAGGGCAGGGCCACCCCTATTTTCTGATGTCCCTTCCACCCCCTCTTAGGTGGCTTTATCCTTCAAGGCAAGCTTCTTGATGTCCGCCAAAACCTGGAATCCAAACTGACAGAAATATTAAAGAACTTCTCTGAAGTTGGTAATAAAAGATGTCTATCTAACAACACTAAAATTATGTGAAAGGGATAGGAAATGAGGGGTGAGAGGAGGAATGTGGTTTCATATTTGAGTGATTTAGAAAGGATGGAGGGATGCCTGGAAGTTAATGGGTAACCAAATAAAGGTGACTTGGGTATAAATATGGCAAACTCTAAGTTGATTCTAAACTCATTAAAACTTTCTGATTCTCTTTTAGCTTGTTCTGAAGATTGTGGTGAGTACCGTACATGTGACACCTTAAGGTTTTAGTCCATATTTTCCCATCTCCTTTGCTCTATCTCTCCCATCTGTTACACTGATAACCCAACCCCTAGAGTTGTGGTTACAAGAGAGAATGTCAATGATGTCTGACAAACAAATCTAGTTTGTGAAATCTCAGACGCCCCACAGATTTTGGAGGTCCTCAGAGGCCTTCTAAAGTAGATAGTTTATAACCCATAGCACCAACATAAGCTGAGACATCCTTTTTTCCACTTTTTCCCCAGAGATTTGACTTAAATCACGGAAGGGTTTGACCCATCAAAAAACTTGATTGCTAGGGAAAGAAGGAATTCACATTAATGTAACCTTAAGAGTCCTGGAAATGCCTTAGACTTAGTCCATACTTGATGTCTGGGCTAAGGAAACTCCATGCCATGGCCCTCTTGAAATTCTTTCTTCTCTTTGTCAGTCGTGACTGAAGGTCCTATCCTGGATTGTTGGACCTGTCTTCGCCTCACCACCCGGTGCTTCAAAGGAGAGTACTGTGGAGGTAACAAAGATTGTGGTGTGGCATTTTGAGGGGCCAGGGATCAAGGTATTGAGCTGTTCATTGATTTGTTCAAAAAATATTTGTTGAACACCTTCTATGCAGGTCATGCTAATGTTACAAATAGGAGCTAAAATGTTGGGCAAAATTTGTACCAGTGTGAATTACTGGGCACTGCTTCAAGTGAGAGGCTGAAAAATGAAAAGTCTGGACTAAAGGTGGAGAAATAGGCTAGGGGCAGTAACGGTGAAAGTTTTGTAGGGCCTAGGGGTTTAAGAGTAATAAAGATCAGAATAAATAGAGACCAGTGATAGAAGTGGTGAACAGAGAAAATTGAGGTTAAAAAGAGTCTTCTATTATAGATAAAATTCTCAAATTACTATTTTTCTTTTTCAAAGCTCACTTTCTTTTTCCCCTTTCTCCTTCCAGAAGAGGACTCAAGGAAAGCTGAGAATCGAGAGATTTCACTATTTCTGATATTGCTAGCAGAAGCTGTAATATTGGGAAGTGCTTTGTTACTGTGAGTTTTCCTCCCTCCAAACAAACACTGGGTCAAGCATCCCTTTGGCAAAGAGATTGCCCAAGCTTCCCCCTCCTTCCAATGGAAATATGGTGAAAGAAGTCATTTCCAAATTTGGAATATAATACTGACAGGAATGAAATGGATGGAAATTTGATGGGATATAAGCTGGAGCATAGAAAACAGAGGAGGGACAATGAAGTATGAGGAAAATTTTAGAGAGGTATCCAGAAAAGGAAGAGAAAAAAATGATTTTATAATTATTTTCAAGTATTGGGCTACTAACATTGAAGTTGGGATTATCTTGTTTCTCTACTCTAGATTCCATTTTTGTGTCTTCCATCAGAGGAAAATGAAGGCAATACGAAGGTCATTAAAGAAATATTTGGAGAGGAAACTTGAAGAATTAATGGGGGTGATAGATGAAATGGAGGAGAAAGAAGATTTTGAAATCAGAAAATAAATACATAGACACAGACAGGAGGTATTTCATGATTCTCTTAAGTGTTGACTCAGAGTAGAAAACTGGGAATTAAGCTCTTTTGTGGTCACAATCACAGCATTTTAAAACTGAAATAGAACTTTCTGTAGTAAAGATCCTTATTGATATCCTGAGGCAATGGAAGGAATGAGAGGGCATTTGATTTACCAGGAGTTATACAGAAAGTAATGCTGGTATGTTGCAATGCACATAAAAGATGATACGCTATATGATAATAAAGAATGCATGGTTGACAACTCTTATTGACGGCTGTAATTAGAATAACTTTTATATTTCCAAGACTGCTTTTTATTTCTAGCTTTAATTTTGTTACTATTTCCATATTTATCATTAGGTTCAATGTGGACCATTTTTCTTTGATATTATTTAATATTTAGTCTTCATCATGTTATGACACACACACAAATTCCAGAATATTAGTCCTCAATAGTTGAGGTTTGTTCCAATCATTTTCCCCTAAATCTATGCTCGATGACTGAATTGGATGCTAATTTCTGCTTCCTTTAGTTGTTTCCATTCAACACTTTTTATGTATATAGTACCCTAATTAGTGCTTTACATCTACTAATTGAATTCTTACAATAATCTTGTGAGATTGTTATTATCTCCATATTAGGGATGAAGAAACAGGAAAATACCTAAACGAAGGTCATCGAGCTACTAATCTAGGCTATGACAAACTCCTCTGGGGGCTAACCTGTGCCTATCCAAACCATCTGATTGGAACTAACAGCTACAGACATATAGTTATGATAGATTGATTAGTGGAGAGATAAGAAATATGGGTTTATTATCTTAACATATTCTTGATTACAGGTAGTAGTGGCAAAGCCTGGAATAAAACGGAGGACTGTGTAACTCTAAAATACATGAACTTTCCACTCTATTTTGTGTCTCCCTTATTCTGGAAGCTTCTTCCAAAACACACTCACATACACACACCCCACAGTCTAGCAGCAGGGGAATAGTTTCAGGAGTTCTGCTTCAGTAGGTGGCGGAGGTGTTTGCAAATTTTTCACCTGCTGTAGCTCTTTCCGTGCTTGCACGTCATTGCTGCTATGTTAGTGAAACATTGAATGAATGGGAACGTGTTTGGGGGGTCCTGAACGCTGATCTCTCTCAGCTAAATTTGGACTTCATGTTAAAAATTCCCAGATAAGAGAGCTGTTGGCATCTACCATTTCCCAATGACAGAAGGCTCATTTCACCAAAGAATCTTGAGACATATTAATTTCATTTATGGTCTTAATTAAATTATTGTCTTTATATTGTTTTATTTTTTATTATAGATAATAAAATAAATGGGATAAATGGGTTTTGTGTGTTTTTGTGTTTGTTTGCTTGAAAGCAGGCTTTTAAATTCCTTGTCTTATGGGCTTGTTGTCCTCTCCCCAACTCCTCTCTTACTCCATTCTAATTACTCCATTCTAGAAAACCTAGGTTAACAAGTCAGGACACGCCTTTCATTATTTTATCCAAACATAAATAGCTATAAGTAAACAGATACAAATGCATACATACAAATATATTTACAAATGCAATTATTTTGCAATTAAAAAATTACGCACATTTTTATTCATGCTGAAGTTCACACTTAATACTTTGTGGAAATTATTTTAAGATAACTGGTATAAGTCTATTCACTCTTTTTGGTGGTTGTACACAACACCATGATGTGGTGGTAGCATAATAATTCCAACATATCTCTATTCGGGGTGTTCTCTTCATTTCCTTTTTTTGTCACTATTAATAATGCTGCAACAAACATCTGTGTAGACATATCCCTACTTATTGCTGCCTTCGTTTATAGGAGACAGTGTTACAGAATTGAGATATCTGAAGTGAAAGTTACATGTACTTTGAAATGTAATGAAGATGATAGAAAGGTTGTAATAATTTGCAAATATACCAGTAATAACCAATAGACCATGTTTGCCACATATCCACAGGCAATAGGTTGTACATATCTTTTAGGTTTTGCCAATCTAATAAACATGACAATTAATCTACTTTTATCTGTTAGTGTGTTGACATCTTTTCAAATGATTCACTGCCATTTGAATAGGCCCTACACTGAACTGTCTATTCACATACTCTGCTAATTTCAGTTTGAAATTTGTCTTGTCAATGCGCAAGAAGCCCTTCCATAACATAGACATTAACTCTGTCATCTCCCTTGCAGATATAAGTAGTATTTTCCCCAAACATATCCTTTATCCATTGAATGCTTAAGGTTTTATTTTTGCTTTTATCTACCCACTTATTTCCACTTCTAAGTCTTAAA